ACCGAGGGGCCGGGGCAGGTCGGCGTGGAGGCCGGGTCCCGCCTCAAACTGAGGAGCAGGGGCCGAGGCCTGGGCCTCCGAGGGCAGGAGGACGGTTCGCAGGGAGACCGGGAGGCCCACGCTGGGCACGCAGTGTCTGCTGGGCCCCTCCCGGCCCGCGGCGCTAGCTCACGTTCAGCTGTGACGACTTCCTGGAGCAGGTTCTCTGCCCCGTCTGTCAGGCCGTTGGGGGAAGGTCAAAGGTTTGGGGTGCTTCCTCCCCAGTCTTCTGTTTCTTCAAAATAACCCGCCTAAGACACTCCACAACCCAGGAGGCGTGTTTGGGGGGCAAACTCCGCGCCCCCTCGGCGGTGCCCTCCCGTTGGGTTGGGCTCGTGCGCGTGAGTCCCCGTCCCCGCGGTGACCCTGGGGCCGTCGCTGTCCCAAACAGAGAGTGGTTTTCTCCGCAGTCCCCACCCGGCCCCGACGAGGTACAGCCCGGTGGTCACCCGAACAAGAATGCAGAGTGGGCACACGAGGGCATTCTTGCCGGAGGGAGGGGCAGGGACCGCTGTGACCACGAGGCGGGTGGGAGGGCCCTGGGGTGGGGGCTGTGGCCGTGGCCGTGGCGAGCCCGTCTGCAGGGAGACCTGCAGGCTCAGCCGCAGACACTGAACTGAACGGCAGCAGAGGCGTCCGGGGACCGAAGCCTTGACGGTGGCTCCGGGGCAGACACCGGTGTACGGTGAGGACGGTGCTGTGCCTCGGGCACGGGGACCGGCCGCCTTAGCCGCGGCCCCGGGCGCCACCTCACCGTGGCCCTGGAGGGCAGGTGACGACCTGCAAGAAATGGGGTCAGGGTTAAGTTACCGAGCTGGGTCACACGGTTTGGGAGTGTTGACGTTTGTTTGACTTCAGAGCGTGTGACTGCTGCTGTTGTGACCCCTCCTCGTGAAGGTGGGGGAGGGGCCAGGGGGGCGGCCACGCAAGAGGAGGACACGAGGGGAAGCCCCTGGCGAGTCCTGTCTGGGCCCCCGCCCGCCCGCCCGCCGGTCTCCTGCTGGTGCCAGCACCCGCCTGGGCTCTTTGCTGAGGGCAAATGTGTCTCCCCCTCATTCCGTCTCTCTGCTTTCGGGCCGGGTCACCCGTCCAGGTGGCCGTGGACACGGGCTTCCCTCGCCCGCCACCTGCCCCCCACGGGGCCCTCGGTGTGGCCGGCGGCCGGGCCGTGCCCCCCGCCAGCGGACTCCCTTCTGGGGGTGGGGCCGGGGGCGGCAGAGGGACCTGTCCTTTCTACTGTCTCAGTGTCTCTCAGTCCCCTGCATCGTCGGGTCGCTACCTGCCTGAACCCCCACCGACCACAGAGGAGCAGACTCTGCCAGGAGGGCCTCCTCGCCCCGGGGCGCAGCCCCCCAGTGCTCTGCCCGCTCCGGCCTCGGACTTGAGTGTGCTGTTCAGCCAGTGGGGGGACTCCAGGCATCTGGGAGGAAGGCGGGGGACTCCAGGCTGGGGCTCTGAGCTCCTCTGGGGACCGAGCGGGAGACCAGGAGGCTGAAGCCACCGGACAGGAGCCAGGAGGTGGACAAGAGCCTGGAGGCGGCCAGGGCAGGGCAGGGCGCGGGTGGGGCGCGGGCGGGGTGTGGGGTGCGGGTGGGGCACCGGCAGGGAGCAGGGAATAGGCAGGGAGCACTGTCCCCCGATCAGGTGCCCTGGGTGCTCCTTTCCTGGTCTTTATTTTCTTTGCCTTCTTTTATCAACTGGATTTATTAGTGTGACATTGGCTGAGACATTACGCAGGCCTTCAGGTGTACATGTCCGAGACCCGCCATCCGCACACGGCGCTGTGCGGCCCCCACGCAAGGCCCGGTCTCCTCCTGCCACCGTGTGTGGGACCCTCCCCACTCGTCAGGCGCCCCTCCCCCGTCACCGTCCTGCGGTCTGGTCGTTCACCCGGTCCCATGTGTGAGCGCGGTCACGCGGCTCCTGTCCCGTCCAGTCCCGTCTGACGTACCCTGCCCCACGGGACAGGATCCTCTGCCCTTCGAGTGTGTTTGGCCAGGAGGGTGCTGCCGAGCTGCGGGGACCCTCCAGGGGGGGTACCGTCAAACAGGGGTGTCTGGGGGTGCCTGACAGGAGGGTGGGCCGGCCCCGCGTGGGGAGCCTGGGCGTGGGGGGCTGCGAGACACCATGTCCTGGAGCAGGGAAGGAGCTGGTCTCACACACAGGCTGGAAGAGCGGTGTTTGAACCGGTGACGGTGAACCTTCCCGGCAGCGGAAGAAGGGGAACTTGAGCCGACCCTCCCGCTGCGAGGAGGAAACCGCCGGCCGGTGCCCGACGTTCCGATGAGCTTTTCGGGTGAGAACACTGGGTGAGCTGCATTTGCCGAAGCTTTCCTCTGACACTGACTTGCTCCCCGTTCCTTGGTCATGAAAGGTGTGTGTGTCTCGGACACCTGAAAAGAGGCCCGCGTCCCTGGAGCGTGGGACCCTGGTGTGACCACGCGCTGACCTGCTTTCGGAGGCGGCCTGGGCGCTGCTGCGTCCCCTGGAACAGCGCAGCCGCGGGCGGCGAGCCAAGGGGCCGTTTGAAGTAGATGTTTTCCTAGATGATTTCATGAGGTTTTCTTTTTCCTTTTAAACTTTTTTTTAAAAAAAAAAGACACATTCCTAAGTCTTGAATTCTACTTACCAAGCCTGACGGCAGAGAGCTCACTTACTGGACAAACGTCAGCAGTTTTGGGTGCAGAAGCCCCCCTGGGTTGGAGCTCTGCCGCAAGCTGGCCGGTCTGTTCCAGTTCGATCCGCGCCCGAGCCGTGCCCAGGGCCAGCTGTCCAGCGCCCCGCCCCGCTGCCCCGGTGGTGGGGGGGGGAGGCCTGAACCCCGGCCCCCGGAGGAGACCGGGCCACAGAGAAGGTGCGGCTCCCTCTCTGGCGTCTGGCAGGGGTTTCCGAGTCAGCTCTGTAATCCCCCCGTGGTTTGGGCACGGCGTGGAATTTTTCACGTGTTGAACAAAGGAATCGTGAATACGCTTTTATGTGTTTGGTTGCATAACAGTTGGTGTCCTTTGGCCGAGAGTCACTGCCCCCCTCCCCCCTACCGCCAGGCACCCCAGAGCCCTCTGGTGTGGCTCTCCCGTTCGCTGAGGACGTTGTTTACACGGCTGGGATGGGAAGCGGCTCTGCACTCCGGCCCTGGCTTTCCTGTTGTGTAGACAGGAAGCGGGTCCGAGGGCGGCGAGGTCACCCACGCCCCAGAGCGAAGCAGTGGGGCCGCCGTGCTGCCGCAGGCCGAGTCCCTGACACGCACCTGGTCCTTGCAAACGCTGTGGGGAAAGCTCAGACGCTTGGCATGCCTGGTGCGGGGGTGGGAGGGGGGTCCGACCTCTCTCCTCCGCCTGGTTCCTTCCCTCCGCCTCCCCACCCCCAGTTAGACAGAGAATCTCTCTTTCTGGCCACTTGTAACCAGACTCCAGCATGAAAACACAGTCGGGTATTAAGTCTTTTCCTACCAACTCACTGCGCACGCATTTCGTTTCTGAAGGTGCCGTGGGAGACCGGCGTGGTGGGGGTGGGGGTGGGGGCGCATGCCGCCCCCCCCCCACTGTGTGTGGGAGTCATGTGCGCAGGGGACGGCCGTGGTGGCTCCTTCCTGAGTGTGTGTGGGGGGTGGGGCTCCCTGTCCTGTGCAGCAGAACCTTCCGGCACACGGGCCCAGGCGGGCAGGAGGCCAGAGGGGTGTGTGTGGAGGGACCGGGCCCCAGGGGCCAGGAAATCACGCACGGGGCTCCCGCCTTCCACTGCGCGTGACCTCGGGGCCGAAATCCGATCCTGGGACACAGCAGTGTCAGCTGTCTTGATGTGAAACATAAACTCACCGAATTTCCGCTTTGTGATCTGTAAATAAAGGATCTGTTTTTCTCTCCAGGGGGCGGGGCCGCTTCTCTGACCTGGGGAGCGGGAGTGCCCAGGACCCCAGCTCCGGTCCCGGACGCGGCCAGGGCTCAGGGTCCTCTGCTCTCTTTGGGGTCCGAGCGGGAGTGCCAGAGGGAGGGAGGGTGGCGCTTCCTCTGTGTCCCGTGCGACGAACGTGAAGGGCCTGCGATCGTGTTCCGTGGCAGCAAACTTTCCACGTCCACACTGTGACTGAGGCCACCGCCGGCGCTGACCGGCCCTGGGCCCTCGCTGCCCACATGGGGCATGGTCACTGGTGCCCACGGGAGGGCCCGGGACACGTCCGGCCTCGGGCCTCACCGTGGTCTCCTTAGCAGCCGGCAGACCAGCGGCTCTCAGGCCCTGGGGATGAGTCGTCGCCCGGGAACCTGAATGGGTGGGTTTTAGCGGTGTTCCACGCCGCTTGTTTTTCCGATGGAGGTTCCGGCCCCACACGCTGGGGTCTCTCGGAGCCCGCAGGTGTCCTGGCCGGGGGAGACAGCACCGCGTCTGTGTTGGGGAGGCGGCCTCGCCGTGTGGAACTCGGTCAGGGAACAGCGGGTTTTCTTGGGCTTCCGTGAAACGTTCGGGAGCCCGGAGGGAGCGGCGTGGCTCCTGTGGGGAGCGTGCTAGCGCACACCGCGTGGCCGGAGCTGGACGTGACCAGCAGTCAGGGGTGTGCGTGTTGCAGCGAGAGACGCAGCAGGCAGCGGGGGTGACGCGTCTCCGGCGGTCACGATGCCGTGGGTCGCAGCCCGCCTCCCCCCGCTGCAGGGTGGCGGTCAGGGACTCTCCCCCTAAGGGCGCCGTGGCGGGTGCCACCCACCCTGTGACGAGCGCAGAGCGCTGCTCGCCGCCTGCCTGCGGGGGGCGGGACTGTCCTCCGGGCCGTGTTTTCCCTCCTGGGCCGCACGGCCTGGCCGCGTGCTGCTCCGTGTTGGAGTAACACCCACCCGCCCGGAGACGTCGTTCCGAGCCACGGAGGCTTCAGAGGGCGTGCGCCCGGCCGGGGCCCTTGACGCAGGTGGCCGCAGCGTGTCGCGGCCGCAGTCCCTGCGGCCGTCACAGCGGGTCTCCCTCCCGTGTTGCAGATCGCGTCCAAGTACGACCACCAGGCGGAGGAGGACCTGCGCGGCTGGATCGAGGAGGTGACCGGCATGAGCATCGGCCCCAGCTTCCAGCTGGGCCTGAAGGACGGCATCATCCTCTGCGAGTGCGTCCGCGGGGCCCCGCCCCCCGTCGCGTCCGGGGCCCCGCCCCCACCCCATCCAGGGCCCCGCCCCCACCCCGTCCGGGCCCCCGCCCCCGTCCTGTCCAGGGCCCCGCCCCCCTGCACGTCAGCCGCCGTCCTTATCCCGCCTCCTCCTCGACTGGCTGCCGGGGCCTGGCTTGTCCCCCGGCCCTTGTGCCCCCGACCCTCGTACCCCCCGACCCTTGTACCCCCCGACCCGTGTCCCCGCGTGGCCAGTGAGTAGATGTCGCGCTTTCCCTTCCAGACTCATCAACAAGCTGCAGCCGGGCTCCGTGCGGAAGGTCAACGAGTCCTCCCTAAACTGGCCGCAGGTAACGCCCCCCCACCCCCACCCCACCCCCACGCCTTTAGCTGCTGTTGCAGAGCAACGTTGCAGAGTAATGTTTCAGCGGGAGCCGGGCCCGTTCCTGTGGTCGCCCTGTTGTGTTTTCGCCGCCTCCGTAACCGCTCAGAACGCCTTCTCTGGCTGGCGGACGTCCGGCCCAGAAGTTTCTGTCCTTCTGCTCAGTCTGAGCCGCTCTCACAAGGTCACACGGGGACATACGCCCTAGACCGTGAGGGCCAGCGAGGGGGACAGCGAGGACTTTCCCCCGAGGGCGCACGGGGGGGGGGGGCGCGCCCCTCCCTCCGCAGGAAGCTCGGTCTCGGGTCGTGGGCGCGCGAGGTCAGCCCAGGGTGCGTGTTTTGGGGTGTGGCCCAGGAAGCATGGAGCGACCACAGTGTGTGCTTAAATTCAAACTGAACCATAGGGAGTAACTGAGTCGAGCATTATGTCCGTCCCGCAAAGGAGATGCCAGCGCCGACAGCCGGCACTCAATTCCCGCAGGCGGGCGAGGCCGGCCCCGCCCTTGAACTCGGAGGACGCCAGGGCTCAGAGAGACCACCGCCAGGGCTGCTGCGTCTCCCTCGGGCCCTTCCCGGAGAGCCGCCGGCGCGCGCGTGTGCGGTCAGGGGTCCCTGCGGGGCAGCCCCCGCCCGGCGTCTTGTAACCAGCCGTGGGCACCGAGGACGCAGGTCCCAGGAAGGCCCCCGTCCGGCCCCGGGTGTCACGTGACTCTCTCCCTGTCCGCAGCTGGAGAACATCGGCAACTTCATCAAAGCCATCCAGGCCTACGGCATGAAGCCCCACGACATCTTCGAGGCCAACGATCTGTTTGAGAACGGGAACATGACCCAGGTCCAGACGACGCTGGTGGCCCTGGCCGGTCTGGTACGTTCCGCACGCCTCCCTCCCTCACGCCCCCCTGCCCCCGGGAGGTCAGGCTGGCGGCAGGCCCGTCCCCTCCGGGACCGCTAGCCTTGGGGACGGGCTGCGGGCACCTGGGGCCTCGGGCAGGACGGCGCACGCGGCAGAGGGGGGGGCCCGTGCGTCTCGGGGGACAACGGCCCAGCCCCCAGCTGCGGACAGGCCGTGTCCTTGCCGCTCCTCCCGTGAGCCTCGGCCGGCACGGGCTCCGCGGAGCAGTCCCCGCACGCGGTGAGCCTGCGTGTTTCCGTCCAGGCCAAAACCAAGGGCTTCCACACCACCATCGACCTCGGCGTGAAGTACGCGGAGAAGCAGACTCGGCGCTTCGACGAGGGCAAGTTGAAGGCTGGCCAGAGCGTCATCGGTCTGCAGGTAGGTGCCATGGCGACGCTCGGCCGGTCGTCACTCAGGGGCGTGACCTCTCAGCCCCCCGGCACAGCGTGCGTCTGTCGTCGGTGAGGAGCGGGCGGCCCGCTGCGCAGGTGTGAGGGCCAGTGTGTGGTTTGCGCGGTTCGTGACCCTGCGCGGCCCAGGAGGTGGTGGCGGCGCTCAGGAGGAGCCTCCGGCCGGCCAGCTGACTTCCCTGCTGTCTCCGCAGGACGCAGTGGTCCGCCGCCCCCCCCCCTTACAAAGGAGGGGGTTTCACAGGGCCTCAGCGCCACAGTCCTCCGTGCTAGTGGCACACCGCACACTGGCCAGATGCTGCTCACGTTCGCTGCTGTAGTTCCCGGGAACGCCCCCTCGGGTTCCCCCCACCTTCACATCGCTCCCTTGGAGCGGGTCCCAACGCCCCCGCGGCCGAGCACCCACGTGCGGTGGGGGGCACAGCGCCCCTCTCTGGCGGAGTCTGTGCAGGACAAAGCCGTCTCGGTGGAGAGAACTGGAGACCTGATTTCCGGGCGTCCAGCCAGGAGATGCGCCTGCATATTCGAGGGCGGGGGTGGGGCGGCGTTTCCCTGCGTGGGGGGTTGTGGACGGACAGAGGCACACGGGGGACAGCCAGGAGGACCCACACTCCCGCCGACAGCGGTGCCTGGAGGGGACTATTGTGAGGACAACCCCCCTCCTTTGTGCTTATATGTTTTCTGAGTATTTTCCAACAAACAGGCTTTTACTTTTTTTAAAAAATTTTATTTATTTTTAGAGAGGGAAGGGAGGGAGAGAGAGAGAGAAACATCAATGTGTGGTTGCTGGGGGCCGTGGCCTGCAACCCAGGCATGTGCCCTGACTGGGAATCGAACCTGCGACACTTTGGTTCGCAGCCCGTACTCAACCCACTGAGCTACGCCAGCCAGGGCAGGCTTTTACTTTTAGTAAAGAAAAAAAAAGTTCCCCTTCAGTCCCTAGTGTGAAGGGAAAAGACCGGGCGCAGAACCACGGCCCGCACCAGCAGCCTGGCTGCTCCGCCGGCTGGTCCTGGAGCCCCGCCACCCTCCCCGGGGAAGGAAGCCACGTCCTGCCCCCCTGAGTGGGCCAGGTTCACAGTCCTCGTCCACTGCCTCTCAGGCCAGTGGGCCCGAGAGCTGGAGGGACAAAACGTGCTGGTTTTCCCACGAACGTGGGGGTGATTCTGGTGGAGCCTGTAGTGGCCCAGGTTGAGCTGCCCGAGGACACACCTGGCGTTTGCTGCCCTGTTTTATGCAAAACATACCTGGAGGAGGAAAATCTGAGGCCGAAGGTAGTTCTGTCCCTGGTTGGGTTAGGTCCTGGTTGCCTGTACCGGGGGTGGGGGGTAGCAGGGGAAGTGGATTCTTCATTGTGTGGCCACTGTAGTAACTTCTGGTGTCTGTCTGTCCCTTCCTGTGCCTGTTTATTTATACGGTTATAATGGCGAGATTTTATACCCAAGGAATTAACTGTTTGAGACTCTCCTTTATCACACGGCACCTTGAGTTTGAGGAAGGGACGGAGGAGACTGGGTATCGCTGCCCCCCCCCGCCCCCCACACAGGGAGGGGCCAGTGCACCTGTGCAGTAGAGCAATCCTTGTCTGTGTTGGAGATGCCGGTGTTGCCTGGCGACAGGCGCTGATCTCGTTCTTTGACTTCAAAGATGGGGACCAACAAGTGCGCCAGCCAGGCAGGGATGACCGCCTACGGGACCAGGAGGCACCTCTACGACCCCAAAATGCAGACCGACAAGCCCTTCGACCAGACCACAATCAGCCTGCAGATGGGCACCAACAAAGGCGCCAGCCAGGTGAGCGGGGCGGCGGGCAGTTGCGCCAGCGCCTGCCTGGTCCCGGGAGCCCAGGGCAGGGCCGTGCTTGGCGTGGGCCCTTGGCCATAAATCCCTTCCTGGTGGGGGGGTTTGCTGAGAAAGCACAGAATGCAAGGCCCTTTCTGCAGCCGCACCCGTGGGGCGGGGTGGGGCTCATGCTCTCCCTGGAGGTCAGAACAGCCGGCCTGGCTTCCTCACCGGAAGGGAAAGGAAGTGACCGGGCTCTGGCTCCAGTCCCAAGTCCACGGCTCGTCCTAACGCTGCCGACTCGTGTTCCCCAGGGGCCCTTCGTGGGCCGGTTAGGTCATTAGCCACCTCATCTGGGGGAAGTCGTCTGACAGTGCCCTAGATTCCTGTGACATGCTGCGGGGGGCGGGGGGGGGCACGGTTACAGCCCACTGGGGGGCTCCACGTTCTCTGCACCCGGTCCTCTCCGGAATCAAAGGAGACGGTGTTTTCTCCGCTGGGCCCGTGAGAAACCCAGAGACTCCTGTCTGAGGCCCAGAGCAGCTCCGCAGCGGAGCTGGGACCGCAGGCCGGGGCGTGTGGCTCCATGAGGGAGGGAGATCCTGGCCCTCGGGCTGCCGGGGGGGGCTGGGGGGGGAGCTGAGCCCGGGGCCGGCTGTGCGCCTGCTCACCGTCAGGGTCAGGGTGACTTCATCCTTGATGAATCGGCCGCCACTTTCTAACGCCTATGCTTCCCCCCCCCCACCCCCCTGCAGGCGGGGATGCCGGCACCGGGCACCAGGAGGGACATCTACGACCAGAAGCTCACCTTGCAGCCCGCGGACAGCTCGACCATCTCCCTGCAGATGGGCACCAACAAGGTGGCCTCGCAGAAGGGCATGAGCGTGTACGGGCTCGGGCGGCAGGTGTACGACCCCAAGTACTGCGCTGCGCCCACGGAGCCCGTCATCCACAACGGGAGCCAGGGCACCGGCACCAACGGCTCGGAGATCAGCGACAGCGACTACCAGGCCGAGTACCCCGACGAGTACCCCGGCGAGTACCCGGACGACTACCCCCGCGAGTACCAGTACGGCGACCAGGGCGTCGACTACTAGTCGGAGGGGCGCCGGGCCGCCTCGCGCGAGCGTTGCACCGCGCCCTCTTCCAACACTATTACGCTTGTTGTACCTGAAACACTGCCTTACACGCCCCTCCCCGCTCCGCCCGTGCCCTCGTAGCTGCCTTCCCGCGCTGTAGCGGCGAGCCCCGGCCTAACCAGTAACCCGCGTGCGGCGTGCCGAGGACACTGTGGAGGAGGACTTCCCTCGCGCGCACACGCGCAGCCTTCCTCACGACAGACTCGTGCGACCTCACGACCCTCTGCCGAGACCGACGGTTCAGACGGTAGGAAGCCCCCCCCCCCGATGCCCCCCTCCAGGTTAGCGTCTGGTGTCCGCGAGGAAGACTAAACTCGTGCTTCTAGCTGCAGGCGGTGTCTGCCCACCACGGCGACGATGCGGCACTTTTAGGGATTTACGTACCGGTATTTCTACAGTATTGTTCGCTCGTTTTTAAATAAAGTCATGACCCGTGTGCACCCTTGGCCCCGTGTGTGCTCCTTCTCTCACGTGAGCTGGCGGGACCGCCCCCGAGGGGCGTGTCTCTGGGCGCGGGGGCGGACTCGGCCCGCGGCCGCGCGGGCCCCTCCTGTTCGTGCCAATGTGTCGGCGCCGCCGAGCCGTTTGCCACTGTATTTATTGCTGCATTTCTCAGCGTCAACGCGCCCCATTGTATTTTTTATAAATAAATATTTTTTGAACATCCATGTGAGCCGCCAGCTGGTTATTTCCAGAAGCACCCCTTCCCGGGCACCGTTTCGGGGCGACGATGGCGTTGCCCAGGGCAACCCACAGAGCAGGGCACCCCGCGCCACCGACGGGGCCCAGCCGAGCGGGGGGCCTGCCCGGGGCGCGTCCCGTCCACAGCCAGACGCAGACGGTCACTGGGCCCTTCTTGTCCTGTTGTGACGCAGCGGCCCCAGATGCGCCCTAAACGCAGCTTCCGGTGATCGCAGAGTCCCCTTCAGAAGCACTGGTGGGGGCGGGGGTGGGGCGTCACACCCGCATTCTGGGGTGAGCGGGCGTCGGTGAGAAACACGCACTGTGCTCATACACTGAGACCGCCTCACGATCTCGGCCAATGACAGAACGGCCATCCCGAGAGCCGCCGGACGACCGGCCGCGCAGAAGTCCTGTGACCACGGAGCGAGAGAAGCCATGATGGACTGACGGGGGCGGCGGGGGCAGGGAGCAGGCAGGTCCCGACCCACAGATGTGGCAGTTAAGAATTGGGAGGGATGTCTCAGCCATGGAGGTCCCCCCTCCCCGGTCCCGGGGAGCAAGGGGTCCCTGCCCCACACCTGGCTCCCCAGAGCAGGACGCGGATGCAGGACAGGGGGGTCCCCACAGCATCTGGCTGTGAAACCCAGCAGAGGCCGCGTCCCAGAGGAAAGGGCCAGCACACAAACTCACGCAGGCCCCTCGCGGGCAGCGACATCTGGGAAGAACTAAAATGACTAACTTCACGGTGAGGGCTGAAGGGACAGGGGCTGAGGGGACAGGGGTTGAGGGGACCGTCTCCAAGGGCAGAAGGGCTGGTGGGCACCACTGACCCTTGGCTGAGATCTCCACCCAGGTGGCCCCGTGCAGGTGGCACCAAATCTGTGCTGTCCGCTAACCTGGCTGCCACCTTGCTCCGCCCTACTGATCCCCCAGACCTGACCCTGCCCCACATGTGCGCCCCGCCCGAGCCTCTTGCAGAGACCACACCCGCGCCACCAGCGTCAGCTGGGGCAGCGGACTCCCCGGAGGAAGGACAGCACCATACACGCAGCAGCAGCAGCGGCAGCGGCAGCGGCGGCCCCAGCGCGCACGGCAGCCCCAAGTCCAGGCAGTGGTGGCCGACCCCAGGTCACTCTGCAGCCCCCAGCGAACAGCCCCAAGCGCGGTGCAACAGGCAGCTGGCCTCGGCCCCGCCAGAGCCCCTCCCAAGACTCCAGCCCCAACACACCTGGTGGCTGGCCTCCGCCCACACCAGAGCCCCTCCCACCCAGCCCCACAACCTGACAGATGGCCGTGGCCGACACCAGAGCCCTTCTAAGGCAGCTTCCGCTCCGTGGGGCCAGTCCCCAAACAGTGACTCACCGGCTGCACTGGCAGCCCGGCCCGAGGGCAAGCCCCAGCCACCAGCCTGCCAGCAGCAACCAAAGCCCAGCTAGGCCGGGCCGGGGGCGGGGGGCACAGGCAACCCACAGAAGGGACACCTGGAGAACCTGGCTCAGATGTCTGGGGGCGGGCTGCTCCTCCGGGCCCACGGGACACTCCCTCTATCAGACCCCTCTCTCGGGACTGGGAGACGCAGCAGCTCTGCGGAGCACAGGGAAACAAACGCAGGGAGTCGGCAACGTGAGGTTTAAGGCAGGCCCCAAAACGAAACGACAGGGCAGCATGCCAGAAGGAGAACTAAACAGAACGGAGACCGGCGATCTGCCGGGGGGCGGGGGGGACAGAGCCCCAAACCCTGGCTGCAGAGATGCTCGGCGGGCGGGGGGAAGAGCAGATGGAGTCTGAACCCCTTCGGCGGGGAAGAGACGGGAGATGTCACACAGACCCAGCCGGAAATGAAGAATGCGCTAGAGGGAGGCGGCAGCAGATCAGGTGGCACAGAGGGTCGAACCGGTGATCGAGAAGGCAAGGTCGAGGGAAACACCCAGTCAGAAACAGCAAAAAGAAAAAGAAACCTTTAAAGAAGATGACAGTCGAAGGGACCTTTGGGGAAACACCAAGCACGACATTCGCATCACAGGGGCCCCAGAGGGAGAGGAGAGGCAGAGAGAAAGGGACCAAGAGCCCGTCTGAAGACACAGTGACTGAAACCCTCCCTGACCTGGCGAAGGAAACAGACGCACGAGTCCCGGACGCACAGGGAGTCCTCAACACGATGAACCCCGGGAGGCCCACGCCAAGACACGGCATAACTAAAATGCCAAGGGTTAAAGACAAAGGGAGAATCTTACAAGGAGCAAGAGAAAAGTAGTTAGTTACCTACAAGGGCACCCCCAAAAGACTGTCAGCTGAACACTGATTCACAAATCAGTAAATGTGATACACCACATAAATAAAATGGAGGATAAAAACCATATGATCGTATCAATGGATGCAGAAAGAGCATTTGACAAAATCCAACACCCATCATGATAAAAGCTCTCAGCAAAGTGGGGACAGAGGGAACATATCTCAACATAATAATAAAGGCCGTTTATGACAAACGCACAGATACCGTCACACTCCGTGGAGAAATACTAAAATCCTTTCCCTTTAGGTCAGGAACAAGACCGGGGTGTCTGCTTTCACCACTTTTATCAAAACAGTATTAAAAGTCCTAGACACAACAATCAGACAAGAAAAATAAATAGAAGTCACCCAAGTTGGAAAGGAAGAAGTAAAACTGTCATTATTTTCAGATGACATGATACTACAAGAAAGAACCCTAAGGATTCTACCCAAAAGCTGTTAACTGAATTCAGCAAAGTTGCAGGAGACCAATAGGTTGCATTTTGATACACCAATAACAAACTATGCAAAAGAGAAATTAAGAAAACACTCCCACTTACCATTGCATCCAAAAGAATAAAAATACCCAGGAATAAATTTAACCAAGGAGATAAAAGATCTATATTCAGAAAAGGCCTTTCTGAATTTAACTGCAGACACGGATAAAAAGCATACACTGTGCTCATGGGCTAGAAAAACGAACGTCGTGAGAGCTTCTCTATCGCCCAGAGCAACCTACAGAGTCGACGTAACCCCATCAAAATGCCGATGCCATTTTTTCGCAGAACCAGAACAGATGATCCTAAAGTTTACGTGGAACGACAAAAGAGCCTGAATAGACAAAGCAACATCGAGAAAGAAGGATAAGTTGTAAGTATCACCTTATCTGACACCAGACTGTACTTCCAGGCTGTGGGAGTCATAGCAGCCCGGGACCGGCATGCAGGCAGACACACAGGCCGACGGAACAGACCCGGGAGCCCAGAAGCAAACCCACGTACGTATGGCTAGCTCACATCTGACAAAGCAGGCCGCAGGTACGAGGGTGCACAGGTAAGTCTCTTGGACAAATGGTGTTGGGAAAACTGGACAGACCAGCACGAAACCGTGAATCCACGCCACGTTCTCACACCACATACAAGAATAAACTCAAAGTGGACTAAAGATTTAAATACAAGTTCTAGAAGGAAAAGGGGAATAAGCTTTTTGACACTGGTCTAGTAATTTTCTGTGTCTCCTCTGGCAAGGACAACACATCCAGAGTACACCAAGGCTATCCCATCAAATTAAAGAGCTTTGGCATCGCAAAGAAAACCGTCGACAAAAAGAAACGGCAACCTCCCGAATGGGAGGAGACATTTGCCAATGACACGCCCAGCATTTGTGAAGGACTCACGTGCTCAATGCCGGGGAAAACAAGCACCAAACATGAGACATCCCACTGGAAAATGGGCCTGAGCAGATGCTTCTCCAGGGAGGTCAGACGTGTGGTTGGCCGAGACACCCGAAAAGACGCCCGACACCGCTCATCACCAGAGATGCAAACTAAAACCACGGTGAGACGCCACCTCACACCCGTCCCATGGGTGCTGGCGAGGAAGCGGAGAAAGGGACCCCTGGTGCGCGGCTGGTGGGGATGCAGACTCGGGCAGCCGCTGTGGAGAACAGCATGGAGCTATCTCGGAATATTAACAGTAGAACTACCATGTGACCCAGCAGTTCCACCTCTGAGTGTTTATCTGAAGAAACCCGAAACGCCAACGCAGAAGGGCATCTGCACCCCCGCGGCTCCTGCGGCGTCACTCACAGTGGCCCGGCGAGGGCGGCGACCCAGGCAGGCGTCCACAGGCGAGCGGATGAAAGGCCGCGGAACGTTTGCCCGGGGGAACGCTACCTTAAAACAGAATGGAGCCTCGCCATTTGCAACGGCCTGGATGAACCTGGAGGGTGCTGTGCGAAGTGAAGTCAGTCAGACAGAGAAAGACAAATAACACATGATTTCACTTACACGTGGAACATAAAAACTCCAACGAACAAACAGAAACAAACTCAGAGACACAGAGGGCGGGCTGAGGGCTGCAGGACGGTGGGGGGGGGTGTGGGCAGGCAGGGGCGTGGATGCAGAGGGGAAAGGGTGAAGGAGCACCAGCCGCCCGCTGCGGAGACAGTGCAGGGAGTGACGCTGCCACTCTGCGTGATGCATGAGTGGGCACCGGACTCGCCGGGGAACCACGCTGTGAGGCGCATGCCTGAAACTACACAAGGTTGTATGTCAACTCTAACTGAAAAATAAAGTTTTAGAAAGAAGGCATCACGTGGAAATACAGCACACGAGATGATTGGACGAACACAATTTTAAAATCAGGATGCCATCACTTTAAAAACAATCGATTCGTTTCTGACTCCTAGTGACTGCCCACTGTTCGGGAGAGAACCAAACTGCGTCGGGAGCAGAACCTGGTGTGTGGCGACGGACACAGGCGTGCGACGTGACTGCCCGCAGCCCCTGGCCTCCGGTCGCGACACAGAGAAGGTCCGGGCGCTGAGTGAGTTGCAGTGACGACCAAGTCTGTTCTGGAAAGAGAGCTGGCAGCTCCCACAGGGGCACGTGTCTCGGGCGAGTGGCCCCACCCGACAGGACCAGCTCTGGGGGCCCCCGCTGCGGACCACACCTGCTTGCGGGCCCCCGAGGCAGAGGGCGAGGGTGCGGGGCCGTGTCCCCACGAACGCCCTGCCCTGTCTGCTGCTTGTCAGGCCTCGGGGACGGTTCCCAGGACCTGCTCTGGGGACCCCGTGGGCGCTGCTGCTGCTGAAGACCGAAGTGGCCGTCCATGTTCGTGTCGGGAGGGCAGAGCTGGGCCCGGCTGCTTCCTGCCCGCCTCCCCTGGAGGCCCGGGCGGCCTGCCGGTGCTGCTGGTCCCGCAGGCAGGCAGCCACCGGTCCCGTTCCTCCCTTAGGACGATGGGTAGCTGTTCCCCTTCTCGTCGGACTGGAACAGGGCTGCCACTCAACACAAAACAGGTTCTGATTTGCTCAAAACTTTGAAAAGGAGGAGCCCCCCGCCCCTCCCCCAAACACCTGCCCAGGTGGGGCATCTCAGCCCCTGGACGGGGTCCGGGCGGGGCTCTGGTGGGAAGCCACGTCTCCAGGACGTCCGCTGACGTGGACGACGGCGCCTGGTCCTTCTAACCGGCTCACCGACATCTGGCGAAGGGCCCGCCTTGGTTTGCGACCGGGCTGGTCCGGTGGCAGTTCTGGTTGCGATGGTCACAAAGTCTAGGAGGTGCACCTGCAGAGTGACAGCGTATTGCGCCCACTTCCGGGCTGGGAGGGCTGGGACGCCCTGCTGTGGGGGGGCGGGTGCGGGGGGCACATTCCGAAGATCTCTGCTGGGGCTGCTCACGGAGGCGAGTGAGGGTGTGCCCTGGAGCGAGTGTGTGTGAACGGTGTGCCTTTGCACCGACGCACGTGAACACGCTGTTGAAAGGTTTCCCGTTGCGGTAAGCACAGAGGCGGTGCCAGCACTGTTCTGGTGGCAGCACTGGTTGGGAGGCGGCCGGACTGGCAGGACCACGCGGCGGGGGGCAGGTCTGCGGGCCCTGGCTGTGTTCCGTGAGCGGCCCGCAGACGGAGGGGGCCCTCCCGGCGCGGACGCCCAGAGGCCCTACCGCCCGAGGGGCCGCAGCTCCGTCCCTTCCTCGCCCCGCGCGGGGCTCCCGCCGTGTAAGCTGTCGATCCGTCTCACGAAACTCTGGGAAAGGAGAGAGCGAACGAGCCCGGGGTTAGGGCCCACCTGGTTGGCAGCCGCCTACCCGGCCGCATCATTTGGGGAATTCAGTCCTGGAAAAGTGCCCCTGTTGGGTTACAATGTCGCTGTGTGCGTGTGAGGTGAGGGAGGTTCCCAGGTGGATTGTAAATCAGGGGGAAAAAGGCCGGGCCGGCTTCCCACTGCCACGCACGAGTAAGCGCGAGGGCTGTCGTGGCTTTGTGGTCTACGTGGGGCGGGCGGGGGGGCACGTTGTCATGAAACCACGGACGTGCCCGTTGAAGCTCAGCGCCCGGCTGGGCGGCACGGTGCCCTGCACGCTCCTCTACCCAGGGGCCCCGGGGCGGCGGCAGCCAGGTTCTGTGGCCAGAGAATGGAGAGAAGTATCGGAACAGCCCTGGCCCCAGGCGACAGGAAGAGATGAGCGACACTTCCTCAGCTGTCCAAGCGTCCCCGTCTGCACAGGACGGGGCAAGGGACAGCTGTGCTGCAGGCGCTGCCGGGGACAGCTGCCTGCTATTTCCGGAGAGGGGCAGCGCAGGCTGTGCGCGTCCGGGGTGCGGCCTTCCCCGGGGGGTGCACCCGGGCACAGACGGGGAGAGCCCGCGGCACTGTGGGCCCCCGACAGACGGCAGGAAGGCCTCACGCATGGGCGGCAGCACGGCTCTGGGAAAAGGGCCCCCGTCCCACCCCCAGGACACCTGAGGGCCGGACCACTGGCGGACTCGGGCTGCTCTGGGGGCAGCCCCCTGGGTCCGTGCTGACAGGGAGGTGGCCACAAGGGAGGCCGCAGGGCCCAGGTCTCGCTCTCGGGACGGGCGGGCCCGGTGCGGGGCAGAGGGCTGCAGAGCGAGGCCCCAGGGCCCACCTGAGGCTGGCTCCCTGGCGGAGGCCCCAGGTCTTGGGCACCCTGAGGGGCAGACCGCCTGGGAGGGGGCCGCGCACACTTACCAGCAGCTCTCGGTCCGTAAAGTGGGGCTTTCCGGGGGAGCCGTCGTCGGTTTCCAGGTCGATGGCGACGCACAGGAGGAGCGCGTCCAGCATGGCCGCGGACACAGGACGCCGTGCGCCACGAGGGGGGCGAGGAGGGCGGCCAGGGGCAGGGCGCCGCCCACAGCGGCAGCGTGTGGCAGTGGTTGAACGCCGTCAGCCCCCGAGGACGGTGAAGCTCGCCACCAGCACCTGTGAGGGCGGGAGGGCGCGGCGCGTGAGCAGGCTGTCGCGGGGGGTGGGGGGTGGGGGATGGGGGGTGGGGGGGGCCGCCGTGTCACCCTCAGTGCATGTGTGTGTGACGGTGTGTGGGCCCCGCTGCCGGGGACGCTCGCGGGACACGGGGGGCCCCGAAGGGGGAGGAGGAGGACATGCGCAGCGGGGACAGTGGGGACGGCGGGGAGACCCGGCTGCCTCGCGGGCGGGAGGGTCTGCGAGCCCCGCTCCCCGCTGCCGAGGGCTGCGCGCGTCTCGCGGACCGGCCGTTCTTCCCTTCGCTCCGCGGCAGGCCTCTCGCTCAACAACCCCCCTGTGAACGCGCCATTTGCCCGCGGCAGCGCAGCAGCCCACGGGCGGCTGTGCTGCGTGACCGACTGTCTGGGCCCGAGGACAGAGCAGAACGCCTTCCAGGCAGTGGGGGGGCGGATTCTGGGGGTGCCCCGGGCTTCGGTGACCAGCAGGCGATCATCCCATTTCCAGGAGCGGGACGTGGGCAGGACCAGCCGGGTGCCTGGTCCTTCGACGGACAGAACGCAGCCCGTCCGCCGTCCGCCCTGCCCTCGGAGACCCCCAGTGACGTGCCCACCGGGACGCTGCTCGATCCCCAAAGCCCAAAGACCCCCTGGGTTTTACACACTCCTTAGAAAGTCCTAGCAGTCCTGTGCTCGTCGTGGGAAATGCAGGAAAAATGGGTTGTCCCCCCACAGTAAAATGAAACAGAAGTCTGTCGTGAAGACGAAACCCCCTTCCAAAGAGTGTCTGGAGGCAGTGATTGGAAACCAGGTCGCCCGCGCCCCTGCATCACCCGTCGCACCCCGACAGCGCCAACAGGGTCGCCTGCTGAGCTGCGACCGGCTCGAGGCCGCTCTGAAAGGCTCGGTCAGCTCGCGCTCCCGGAGCTGCGGCCACAGGGCGCTGCCCAGGCCCAGTGAGCCTGGGGACAGGTGCGCAGCCCACGCACACCTGTCAGCCCCAGCGCGCGGGGACAGCGACGCGCGGGGACAGCCAGAGGCCGCAGACGCACGGCGCGCTGAGTCGGGAGCCGGGCGCCCCCACGTGTGGCGCCGGCCGGGCCCCAACTGGAGACCAGGACTTCGCCCAGTCGGGCCCCGCAGGCGGGTCCCGGAGCGGGAGGCTGGAGGCCGGGAGGACGCCTGGCCGGCAGGAGTGCGGCTGGGCGGCAAGGGCGGCCCGTCTGTGGCCAGGAATCGGGAGGGCAGCCAAGCGGAAGTGGGACCAGCCCGGCCAGTGGGGTGGGGGGCGCAGAGTGAGGCCCAGAGGGTGGCGGTCCCGTGGAGAGGGGCCCAGGGGGGTTGGCACAGCATAAGGAACCTTCCTCGGGGGGCCTCGAGGTGGGGCCGGGGCACCCGCGTCGCTGGCATGCCAGCCCCTCCTCCCCGCACCCCGCAAGGGGCGCCTGTCGGGTGAGTCCACAGCCAGGAAGACCGGGCGTCGCGTCCGCGAGCCCAGCCTCGGGCTGGCCCCTCGCCCACAAGCCCCTCCGCCGCACGGGGTCACGGGCGGGCGGTCCCTTGAGGAGAACGCCTCCGGGACAGCAGGACGGTGGCCCTGGCCCCGACCGGAGGCCTGCGTGGGGACCAGACGCCTCTCCACCCAGCAGAGAGCCTGTCAGTCCCCACGCTGTCCCATCTATTTCATGACACTGCCCCCACAGAGGGCCGTTTTCGGAGGCTGGTGGCATCTGCATCCAACACGTGAACAGGCGGGGCTCTGGGAAGGATGGCGAGGGCGGGTCGGAGGACGGGCCTCGGAGCGGGGCTCCCGCGCCCGCGGGGTCCCGCACACGTCACCCGCCGGGACCCTCCCGGGGCCGAGGACGCACACCACGGGGACGCAGGGCGTCCAGCCGAGACTCGCGTGCGAGAAACGCCCGTCCCCGTTCCAAGCCCCATGGCATGACCTCATTTTTGGATCCCACCCGCCTGTAGTTGTTATTTTAGGGAAGACGCCTCACCTTTCCTAGAAAGACGACGAAGTCTCCAAAGCAGCTGACAGCCGCGAGGCGACGCGCCCTCTGGGACAGGAGCCCACAGGCGTCTCCGGCCGACGTGCCGAGATCCGTCCCGTTGATGGCGGCGGCGGCGTACGCGTGCTGAAACGAGAGGCCGCCGTGAAACGGGGGAGCCCTGCAGCTCCCGCCTTCAGGACAATGTAGTATCGGCACGGAATGTTTGCAGGAGAGAAACGGTCACCGTGAATCCTCGAGTCAGTCCATCCTAAAGTCTGACACGCGAGGATATCCGCAGAGAGCCGCAGCACGCGGAAAAGGTAGGTGCGTACCCGGGGCCGGTTTGAGGACCGAGTATCCCACTACAAACACACGGAACAGGGGGTAAAGAATACGTCTTTCTTTCTTTTTGTTTTTAATAAGTTGTTTTTCAAAGCACAGCGGGGTCTGGGGGCCAGACAGGAAGGGTCCGAGCTGCGGGCAGAGCACACCCTGGTGGTGGGTGAGCACGGAGCCCGAAGGTCCCCCGGGCACCCTCGAGGGGCCTGGGCCCCCGGCACCCACTCAGGGTGGACACTCGACTCACACCCAGCAGCCGGCCCAGGACAGCGGCGGGGCAGCGTACCAGCTGCCCGGGCCCATGGACCCTCCCACGGTCTGCGGGGGCGAAGAGAGCCGAGCCCCCACCCCACCCCTGCCCAGGGACACAGGAGGCATGTCATCCAGGGTGGTCCCCTCCCCACCCTCACCGAACCTGGCCTCGCTGTCCACAACCAGGAAACAGAGGCAGCTCTGCCCACACTCGGGAGGGGCAGGCCCAGGACCAGCGGGGCTCGCTCTCCAGACCGCCCCGGGCCCCAGCACACGCCAGCCTCGCCCTGGGCTCTGTCGCCAGCCCCCAGCCCCACCCCCGAACTGAGGCTCTCGGGGGCCTTCCGGACCCACCCTGGGGTGCCAGTTCCTGGGACATCCTGTGCCCAGGCCGGGGGCCCAGTAATCCGTTCCTTCCGCACCACTCCCCACAGCAGTAAATGGATTTCACTCCTTGGCTACGAGGATCAAAGGATAAAGTGGCACTTTCCCTGCCCGTGTGGACTCCCAGATCCCAGCCCAGACCACTGATCTTCCATCACCGTGTGGCGCCCAGGAAAAGGACGCTCGATGGCTCTGACGGGAAGTCACGTGTGTGTCCTGTCCCGAGGACGGCAGACAGACCCAGAGCTCCTGCCTGGACGGGCCGTGGGGTCAGGGGACACACGGGGGCGGGGCCCGGACCCAACGTCCCCGCAGCTCCGGGGCAGCTCGCTGACACCTCTTCTGAGGGGAGCTGCTCACCCGCCAGGCTGCCGGAGGGGGGGGGGGCAGCACCCGCGTGGCCCCCGAGCACCTGCCCTGCTGGGCTGACAGGACCAGGACGGGGGACCCGCCAGGCCACCGGCAGACCCGGACGCGGGAGGGGCCGGGGACCCAGAGGAGCAGCTGACGTGTGCTGCTGCTGCTGCTGCTGCTGCTGCGGAAGTCATGCAGGAGACCCTGAGCGCTCACCCCTTTCAAATTTAAGTGCACAGACTTATGTTCAGAGAGGGGGACGCAAGGAGGGAGAGGGGCGACCACGGGCTGCCTCTCACGGGGCCCAACTGGGGGCCGAACTGGAAACCCGGGCACGCGCCCCGACGAGGAACCGAACCCGCGACCTTCCAGTGTGCGGATGGCACCCAGCCCGCGAGCCACACCGGCCGCCAGGGCCGAGAGCTGGCCCGCAAGCACAGAGCAGGAGAGGTCGCGCTACGTGCGGGCCCTTCCTTTGGGACCAGACACGGCCCGCCGGGCAGGTCTCCTGTCCTGGAGCCGAACCAGGAGACCAGACACAGGCGAGAAAGGAGGACTCCCGACCCGACCACGGCGGCACCTGTGGGTCCCCTCCTCACTCCCGGCCAGGAGGCAGGACCCCCCTGGTGCCGAGTGCCCAGTTCCCAGACTCTCGGACTGCCCCCGGGGTCTGTCCCAGAGGCCGGGGCGGGCGGCCCTGTGGGGCCATCGGGACACGTCAGCACTGACCCACGAGTCGGCAGGAATGGGACAGCGACAGGGGCCAGAGCGCAGGCCGGGTGAGGGGGAGTGCCAGGAGCACTTCTCAGAAGTGACACGTAGCTGGTCCCCCCCCACCCCCGCCAGGCTGCTGTCCTGCGCAGGAAATGGGGGGGGAGGGGGAGGGGGAGGGGGCGGGTGGGGGGAGGGCAGAGGCGGCAGCAGCAGGCAGGGAGGTCAGGCTCCGGCCGGCAGAGACGTGTGGTGCAGACGAGTCTCGGGAGCCGGGAGCCGGGAGCCGGGAGCCAGACCTCAGGGGCAGGACAGAGGGCACCGGGCTGGAGTGACGGTCAGCCGGGGACTTCTCCCCACGCTGCCCCGTGCGGCTCCGGGCCGACCTCCCTCCCTCCCTCTCCCATCAGCGCCCTCTGTGGGGCCGCAGAGCCCGCCCACCCCAGGGCTCACCCCCAGGGCCGACTGAGGCCCCCACAGCGGACGGACACTGGCCCTGTCTGGGTCACTCGGGGTGGCTGTGTGCCGGTCCACGCCCTGAGCTCGCTGGCCCATCAGCAGCCAGAAGCCGGGGCCGAGAAGATGAGTTCTGGAGGGGCGAGGGGGGTCTTAGGCACTCTGGTCCTCTCCACCCCTTCCGGAGGCCGCGTCCTGACCGGTGTCTGCGGTCTGTTGGCCAGACTGTGCCCTCGGGGGGCAGGTGTGCAGCTTCCAAGTGTGACTGAGTCACCGGTGATGGCGGGCGTGTCCGGGGGGCCTTCCCTACACCCCGAGGGCATTCGCTCCTTTGACCCTCTCCCCGACCCCAGCTGCCCGAGGAGGAGGCCGCCCCCCACTGTGGGCTGTGGGTGGAGGAACCGTGAGCCGCGGCTCCGCTGACCCTTTGGGAAGGTGAGCAGGGCCCCCTCTGCGGAGGAAGCTGCGCTGTGAACCTCGGGCTTCATCTCTGAAAGGCCTTCCCCACGAAGGAGGGTGGAGGGGGATTCACTGAGGACGAGAACTTCCAGAACTTCCGAACATGCCCGAGACGCTGGACAACGGACACAGAGAGCGGGCTTTCTCGGTGCCCCCCCCCACCCCCGGCATGGTCGGGGCTGCGGTGCAGCCCGAGCCGGACACAGCCCCACACATGCCACCGCCTCGGGGACCCGCCACCACCTCGGGGACCAGCGGGCCCCACACGCCACCCGTGTCTCCGCCACAAACACGGGCCTGGGAGGCGGAGCACGGCCACGGGGCCCGGCAGGCAGGGCAGTTCGAGAGTTCACCGGCCACAGCTGCCCAAATCCAGCCCGAAGGTGGGCGGGCGGGCGAGGCCAGATCCGGCCCCTGCGGGGACGGGCCCGGGCTGAGACCGGCTGGGAAGGCAGGAACACAGCGGTGCTGGTCTGTTTGTTCTTTTTGCACTTACTGGCATTTTGCTTACTTTTCAGGACAGTGGCTTTACTATCTTCATGCTCATTGTTTTAAAAACCGAGCACCATGGGAAGAGCCCAAGCAGACGGACAGCGGGGCAGTCACCGGGGCCTGGGCCTCGGCAGCAGCCGCAGACCGGGGCGGGGGCAGGGCAGTGAGCGTGTTCTAACCACGCGGCCGCTCTGCGTGGAGGCAACCACTGGTCACAGATGCCAGCCGCCTCCCGGAGAGGGCGGAGGCGCTCCCGTCAGGAGGGACCTCAGGGCCCGGGCTGAGACAGAGGTGGCTGCTCGCTGGGCCTGGCCCCAGGAGGCGGCGAAGGGGCGAGGGCCCACGGGGCGGAGGGTCCGGGCCTCACCCTGCTGCTGCATTCCGGCCCCCACAACAAGCCCGAGGCAGGTGGCGGCGGGACCTCGGGGACGCGGCCGGTCCCGTCCCGACAGCCTGGGGCCTCTGGCGAACAGGTGCCTCCATTCCTTTCTATCTAAAGCCCAGGGCCGCCTCGCGGCGCAGCAGCTGGGCCGCGGGGACCAGCCCCGTGTGTAAATGGGCCGCGATGCAGACCATCCCGGCGACACACGTGCGCTTCTTCCTCAGACACACACGTGTGGAGGCGTCTCCCCGGCTCTGCCGTCAGCTGGCTGGCCCAGAATAGCCCCGAAGCAGCCGGGGGAGGGGGTCTGGGGCGAGGGGGGAGGGGGGCGTGGGGCAGGGAACGGAACCACTGCTGCCCCTCAGAGGTGGACGGAATGACGCCCCCGACGAGGCCCCTTCTATGGCCTGGCTGTCGCCGCGAGAACCGTGCCCTCCTCCGACCGGCCCCGCACATCCACGCCTGTGCCACAGAAACCGCACACAGAGTCGCGGCCCTACCCCTGGGGGGCACAGGTGGCCCTGGGGGGCACAGGTGGCCCTGGGGCCCAGGGAGGGGGGGGCCGCTGGAGCCCTGCCAGCTGGCTCGGGATGAACTGGGGCCCGGCACGGAAAAGTCGCCAAGTGCCTCTGCCCTTGATGCGCCGCGTGGAGAGCAGGGAGGCCCCGGGCTGTCGGAGCCGGCCTGCCACAAAGCCCAGCGGACAGAGACGGGCATTGTGCGCGGTGAAGCCGGGCGCTGCCAGCGGAGGCTGGGAGGTGGGGGGGGCTGTGCGCATTGTCCGAGGAGCGGCCAGTCTTCCCGGGCGCTGGACATGGCCAGACGCCTGGGGCCCTTCTGACCAGGCTAGTTGTGAGCCAGGAAGCCGGGAAGCCGCGGCGTTTCCGATCAAGTGCCAGGAGCAGCAGCCTGTGCTTCCTCGATCTGCAGCTCACATCCAGACGCTGCCGGGTGCCCAGGGCTGCGTTCAGGTCTGCCCGCGCCCTCTCGTCCTGCCCCCGAGCCCCTGGCCGCTCCCGCACGCTCGCCCGCCGCAGGACCACAGCCCCCAGCGGAGCGGGGACGAGGGCGCCGCAGACCGTGCGCTGCCCTCGCCCCGGTTTTACCCACCGCAGCAGTGCGGGGTGTCACTGTCAGGGGACACGGGGGGGTGGTGCCCCCCGGCCCACCACGGTCTCGCTCCACTTGCCAAGATCCTGGGGGCTTGACGTCAGAGCGAGCCAAAACCTCGCTGATCTCCGTGGCCCCAGAGTAAGTCCTCGCCGTGGGTAAGAAGTCCAGTGTGGGGGAAAATGGCCCTGTCACGTGGCAGGTG